CGGGAGGCCCCGGGGGTAGGGCAGAAGGGGCCAGTCGGTGGGAGGCGGCCATGGGAGAAAAGTAAATCTGCCCTCCTCCTGAACAACAGGAGGCAAGTATCTTGAATGCGGGGGGGGGGAGCCCCCTGGAAAGAAGCCCCGAGTTCTGACACAGAAGACGGAGCCCAGACCGGGCTTCTGCGTCCGGCGAGGCGTTGCTCTGATCTGCCGGGATGGGTTTGAGGGAAGGTGCGGGTTAGGGGACCCTAGGTCAGGCGGTGGCTTAGACAGAAGAGCACGGCCAACTTCATACCGGCCACCAGCGCAACCTGATTTCTGCCATACTTAAGAAACCGATCCAAAGAGCACTTACTGGCAGCGAGCAGAAATGATCCAGCCAGGAGGCGAAGGGTCCCGCAAGCGGCGAAGCCCGCCACGCCACCCACAGCCATGGGGGCTCCGCCAGGTCACCCTCCTGGGCTCCAAACAGGCAAAGGTTTTCAAGTGAAGACAGACCCACGCTGCTACTCTACCCCCGCTGCGCAAGGAGACAAGAGCCCACCCACCAACCCCCAGTTTCAGATCCTCAGAAACCGGTTGAGGAGTTGCCAGCGTGACTGGGAGAGTTTCTGCTGGATCTCTCCAAACTGGGGTTGGAAATTAGCACCCACCCCCTTTCTCTTCTCCACCACCTCCTGAAAGGTTCTCCTGCACTGAGAGCAGATATAGGGCGCATATGGCAGCGCGCGTCCAGCTGTGCCATTCCCCTTAGCAATTCCTGCCCCGTTTCTCCTTCCCGTGATCATTATCGGCTAATACAGCTGTGCAGCAGCTGATGGGAAGAAATTCTCCTTCATGAAACTTTAACTCTAAATCCACTTCAAAATCCTCTAGTTGGATTAGACAGAGGAAGCTGTTTCTCTTATTAAGCTCCCTGCTCCCATTTTAACAAACAGGAGAAATTCCCCCAAATGCTGTTGTGTTAATGCTTAATAGAAAGAAGGCAAGTTTTAAGCCTAAAATTATGACATTCAAAGAATGAAGATGACAGAAAAGGGGGATGCTGAATTGTAACCAGAAGATCAGATTTTTTTTTAAATATTTGGTGGTAATGTTGTAAAGCTCAACAGTTCTGGAAAATGACTTACACTAGAATGGAAGAAATTTTAAAAGTTGAATTTCCTTACTAACCTTAAACCTTACTCAACTGAGTGCGTGGTAATGGCTGTGCAGACACCTCCCGCTGGAAAGTCCGTCCAAGTCCCTCGGCGGGACGAGCGGGTGCCTTGCTCGCACCCACCTGGTGCGCGGCGGAGCAGCATCCCCCGCCCAGAACGAGGGCCAAGAGCGGGGCCGTGAGGGATTTGCAGAGGGCCCGAGAGACAGCGCGAGCCCACCCCCAGTCAGGGGGCTTCCGGGTGACTTTGCGCAGTCGCGCTCGCAGGACTGGTACGGGGATCAAACGAAGCAAGACCCCGGGAGAGCCACCTTGAGCTCCGGAGTGGAAAAGGAACGCCTGGCCCCTGCCTGCCCGGCCCTCCTCCGCTGTCTCCCCCGCCGGCATTACCGCAACTCAAGCCAACACCTGGCACCGCGCCAGGTTAGGGCCAACGCTCAGGCGCCACTTTTGATTCGGATCCAGGGCGGGGCCCCCAAACTCCACCGTCCGGACTGGCCCTTCCCCCGCGAGGACCCCCAGCCGGGGTCCGGCGCAGTCACGCGGGGACTCGGACCGCGGGTCGAGGCGGGCGCCCCG